TAGAGCTGTGAAATCAAAAGAGACTGTTTTTACCTTCACATTTGAAAAAAAATTGCACTTAGGTAAAGAACAAAATCAATTCTATGTAGGCACATGTATGTAAATAAACAGAAAGAAATAAGTCTATTAGCAGTTTCCTTTGAGTAGGGAAATAGAGTAGTTGGACTTCCAATTTTTACTTTCTACAATTAGATATTGTTAAGATCCTTTATAATAAAATTACATTTAAAAAGGGAATCCATATAATTCTTAAAGCTTTAGAGAAAAGAAAATAATATGGTTTTCTTTATTTTTTTCACAGATACATTCTGGTGATTTGATTTGAGATAATTTCACCTCAYACAGTTTAAGATCATTTCTTGTGTTTGTGATTTTCAAAGAAGGTGGGGAAAAGCCTAGAATCTTTTACAGAAATAATTTTCAAATATTTGTTTTTAAAGTAAAAAAATTCATCAAATGATATATTATCTTAAATTCAACAAGTGGAACAGATAAAGTTGGAGCTGCAGGATTCTTACTGGTTCACTCCTTGTTCTCTTGGCAAGTGAAGCATACTTTGAAAACCACTTCTATAAATATGCTTGCTCATAAAGGAGGTATTTGTTAAATGAGTCTTATATTTTTTAGTTTATTTTACCAATATAAATGTTTAATAATGCCTTCCATAATATTCTAGAAGATATAAAGGAATAATCAGCTTGCAAATGTGTGTAGGATCTCAGGCAAGTAAAATACACTTGTTGCTATCAATTCAATTATGACTGACAGATTGCTGCAGGATAAAGACGGGTTACTCTTTGTTATTTCTTGTCATATGGATAGGATGACTTTTGATAGGTAATCTTACCAAGCACTTACATATATTGCTTGCTATTGTTTGAATGTATGTGTCCCTCCAAAGTTCATGTGGGAAATTAACCCTCAAGGGACAGTTAAGAGATGGGGCCTTTTGGCAAGTAAGTCATGAGCATTTCACCCTCATGAATGGGACTAGTGTTCTTATGTTATGGTTTAGATATGAGGTATCCCCCCAAAGCTCATATGTGGGACAATGCAAGAATTTTCAGAGGTGAAATGGTTAGATTGAAAGGTGTAACCCTACCAGTGGATTAATATACTGTATTTACTGACAGTAACTGTAGGCAGGTAGGGAGTGGCTACAGGAAGTAGGTCACTTTGGTTGTGCCTTTGGGGTATACAGTTTGTCCCTGGTGAGTGGAGCATACCCTTTCTCTCTCTCTCTCTCTCTCTCTCTCTCTCTCTCTCTCTCTCTCCTTCCTGGTTGCCATGTCCTGAACTGTTTTTCTCTGCCACACCCTTCTACCATGATGTTCTGTCTCACCTCAGGCCCAGAGCTATGGAGTTAGCCAACCATGGACTTGAAACTGTGAGCTGAAATAAATTTTTTCTCTTCTACGTTGCTCTCATCATTTATTTTGGTCACAGTGATGAAAAAACTGACTAAAAGAGTTTGAAAAGAGCAGTGTAGTGCCTTTTGCTCTTCCCCTTCGGCCAGTGTTCATCCCTTCCTCCCTGTGAGGATGCATCAAGAAAGCACCATCTTGCAAACCCCTACCAGACACGAAATCTGTAGGCACCATAATCTTGGAATTTCCAGCCTCAAGAACTGTGTGAGCAATACATTTCTATTACTGTATTTGTGAATTATAAAAATTCGTGATATTTTACCAGAGCAACAGGAATGGATGAAGGCATTGCTGGAATACTCTGCGTAGTATATTCATGCATTTAAAAGAGCATCACTATGATCRGTCATTGAATATTATCTAATGACCACAATAATAACCATCTCYCACCTGTGGTGTTTACCCATTCGTGTGTTGAAAGCATGGGTTCTCAGGCTCATACAGGATTTCTACATGAACAAACATTGCAGTTTCTGGACTTTGCTTAACTCAGGTCAATGSTCTCAAAAGGAGTCCTACTCAGCAGTGAGGAATTCACAGGCCACAGAGGAGGGCTTAAAACTTTCCTTGACAATTAYTGAAATGACGAAGAATGTTTTCCTGAACGAGAATGACCTTATCTAAAAGCTTCAGGTGTGTTAACCACAGCATTACCAAAGGAAGACAACCACTATGCTATTTWCTTACTTAATCTATCGCTTTGGTTGGCTCTTCTTGAAGAGAAACACTGTATAATGAAATATGAATCCAGTGCAACTATCCCAAGGTAAGAAGGGGCCTTACTTTGCTTAATTGCTTTTCTTTCTATTTTGTCTCCCCATAAAGAGCAAATGTAATTTTTTGAAAGTATAAAATATTACTTTTAGGTCTACTGAAGTAAAAAATCTCCAAAGATTTAATCTGCGGAAGTGTAGAAGACATAACTTAATGCCTACCTAAAAACTACGTGTTCAGGTATGAYAGTCTGTCCCTTCCTTGGCTTTGGTGATAAAATCAGTATTGATCTAAATCAACCTCTGTAACAACATTCCTCTTTGCCAGTTGTTGATTTARGGCTAAGCTTGATTCATTTTTTGCCAATGGAATTTATAGGCAAAGCTACTGGGAGTCAATGGTAAGATKTTCCTTCTTAATAAAAAGAAAAAAATCTCTCCTTTTGTTATTAAATACATATGTGAGGGGAGGTTGGGAAGTTTGGGTTATGGATGAGACTGTGTTTCTTTGAACTCTAGCAACCATTATTGACTAATAAAAAAAATGAGGATTAGCTAATCACAGAAAGCAACCAAGGGCTATGACACCATTGAATTTTTAAACAAACCCTGGACACTGTACGSTTTGGATATAAGTTGTCCCCCAAAACTCCCATGTTAACGCAGGAATGGTCAGAGGTGAAATGATTAGACTATGAGAACTGAACCTACCCTAATCAGTCCATCCTAATTTGAATGGTAACTATAGAAAGGTGAGGCATAGTTGGAGGAGGTGGGTCACTGGGTGCTTGCCCTGGAAGGGATTCATCTTTCCCATGGCCCATTTTCCTCTCTCTGTGCGTCCTAGCCACCATGAATTCCTCAGCACTCCTTYACCATACCCTTCTGCCATGATGTTCTGCTTCATCTTGGGGCCAGAGCGATGGAGTCAGCCCACCATGAATTAAACCTTTGGAACTATGAACCAAAATAAACTTTTCCTTCTATAAGCTGTTCTTGTTGGGCACTTTGTTAACAGCGATGAAAAAAAGCTAACACAGACCCACTTACCTCCAGACATCTTGTGTGAGAAAAGTAAATTTTTATTTCTTAAGGGACTTTTGGCCAAAAGTCCTGTCACTACAGCCAAAGTCAAAGTAGTACAAAAGGTGATTTTGATTCAAAAGCAACTCTAAGACACTCTGATCAGAGGCAGCAATGAGGAGCTTTTAGCTTAACACATTGCAAAATCTTCTTAAAGGATGACTGATTAGRACACTGCCTTTGCATTGATACTTCTAAAAACTGCAGGAAATAACATTTCAGGGACTAAAAAAACAATTTCAAAGTTTTWAGTCAATAGAAATTATATCAACTGTAAGATTATATATAGTTTTTTATATATAGTTTTTCCCTCCTTCATCCCCAAAGTTCAATTGTAATATTTGAATACTGAATGAAAAAAGTTGGGCATGTAAATATTTGGTTATTTTTAAATGCCTATTCCTGAAACAACAAAAACAATGTTTCATTTCTTACTTTAACTACTTGTAAGTTTCATTTCATTTCTTGCTTTAACTATAACTTGTAAAATTCTAGTGGTCATTCAAAATCTAACTCAAATGTCATCTTCTCAAATAGTATTTCCTAACTTTGCAAAAACAGACTCCTTTTAAAACATATATTTATTTATTTATTGTACTGGAGATTGAACCCCAGGGCCCAGGGCATGGTAGGTAACTGTGTTATCACTGAGCCGCATGCTTAGCCCTTTCTATTTTAAGTTGCTCAGGCTGACCTTGAACTTGATGATCCTCCTGCCTCAGCCTCCTGAATAGCTGGGGTTACAGGCTTGTGCTACTRCCTCTGGCTGACAAATGCCCTCCTGTTTTCTCTGAGAACATATTCATTCATTTAACAAACATTTATTAAGCTTTGGTTATTTCTAGCTCTTCTTCTGGAGATGCAGAAGTGAAAAGCCTTACACAGTTCCTATACTCAGAGCTTACAATATAGATAAATCCTTAGCAACCAACATGAAGTGTGGCAAGTTTCTGTTTTAGGCATATTAGCTAGCATATGTTAACAACCAATGAAGTTAATTAAACTTTTACTGGGTTTGTATAGTGTGTAAGGCAYAAGAGATATAAAAATGAATAAAATACAGTCTCTGTTTTTTAAGGGAGGGACAGAAACTGATAATGTGYTCAACAAACTAGTTTCCTCTGCTGCCTGGGCAGAGTCAACATTTCCCAGTCTGCCTTATAGGTTTGTGTGGCATGTGACCTGTAGAYTGGCCAATGAGATGTGGGCATAAAATAATGTGCTATTTCTAGGATTCATCCAGAAGAAGCCTTCATGAAATTCTCCATATCCCCCTCTCTTTCCCATTTTCTGAAACTAAGGACTCTTAAGTGCTTAGGAGATAGCAAAGCCATAATATAAAAGAATCTTGACTTCCAGAATCACTGAATAGAAGTCCACCAGCTGAACTCCTGCTTGGACTTTACCTGCATGAGAAATAAACTTTTGCTGTGTTTGGTTACTGAGATTTTGGAGTTCTTCTGTTATAGCAGCTGGTGTTGCCTTATGTTCTTTAATTATGATGTAAAAAGTRCAGAGGGGAGAGGGTATTGCTGTGCTTGGCTGGGGGTGGATACATSAGGATATGTGGGAAACAAGCCTTAGAAAACAACTTGGTCATGTAAAGAAACCATAGAAGTCCATTCCAGGCAGAGAAACCATATGAGCAAAGAATAAAATATGAATAGGAAGGTGCATATCGGGAATTCTATGTATGTCTGTATTAATTAGAACACAGAAATGTTTGTGATCTGAGCAGTCAGAAGAAAACGCTAAGTATACATTCTTGAGCTATTACCTCCTAGTCAGGTTAGCTTGGGCAAATTCATAAATCAGTCTGGACAAGTTTCTTCTTGTTTAAGATGGAGACAATGCCTATGTCTCCCAAATCCTAAAACAGTGTACTTCATAGAGTCCATAGAGATGCCTTCTGCTCCTCTGTCTTCTTTTATTGAAATATCCTTTGAGAAGGAAGCCACCYATGCACATGGTACACTGAAGAGCACAGATAAGGGACACTGGTAAATTCAAACTTCACAGAAGACACAGAAAAAACAAATTAGAGAATTGATTTTTTAAAAGACAAAGAGCTTTCATTATGTTTGTTAGAACAAAGAGACAGGGCTGGGTGCAAACTTCATAAATCAGCTCAGCCTTTGATCAGGAACCAGACWACACCTAYGGGAATGGACCCATTTTCCTGGTGGAAAATAAGCCACCGAAGAAAGGAGGGGACTGGGCTTATATATGTTGTGGGTGATGTAGTGAGCATGCCAGTCTGGGCACTCAGGAATTTGAGTCCTTGAGTTGGGGATTGGTAGACAGCACCCGGGGAGGTACTGTCTTGAAAGAGATTAGTATTTCCTAGAGACTATCACTTCTAGGTTGGATGAGACACTGTCTCCCCTCCTGTGGCCAGTATCTGGGAGGGACTTGTGTTGGGAGAGAAAAAAGTCATCATTGTATGGTGTTCCTATCTATTTCTTTCTCCTGGGTCTAACTATTTTGGGGTGTTTTGTTTTCCATATCCACTAATGTTGGCAAGACATAGTTAATAACTTTAAAAGGTTATTAAAAACACTCCAGAACTTATCATWATTGTGGCTTCCTTAGCACAGATGACACATGACTAAAATACTGAGAGCACTCCTTTATTACATGATTGCATACACAGGCTACTCCACTTCCCTGRTACTGTATTACCAAGCTTTGTGTAAAAAAAATTGTAAATCTTTTTTTCCTCCAGAAGAAAAATGTGTTCTGTCGCTAGGATTTGTATGCTGACCAAGAATCAGAAGCACACTAATAGGACTAATAAATATTTGGCCATGAACCAGATAGTCAATAATCTCTTGTATTCTGTAAACATTTTCAAATGAAGAAATGTTTCACATTATACTTGTAAAGCAAGAGACTTTCAAGGGTCTGTGGGTAACAAATAAATGACTTCAGGAGCCAGGCAGGTAATAAGTAATGTGGAGTCTGTGGCATCAACTGGGGTGGGTCAAGCCCAACTGAAGACATTCAAATCACCACAGCCCTCTGGAGCTAATCCTATGGTTTTACCTCCCATCTAAAGAAACTGAGATTAGGGTTAGGTGACTCTTAGAGTACATATAGTAAGCACAGTAATCAGAGTCAATGCAGAAGACAGAAACCACTCCAGATATTTAAGGCAGAAAGAGATTGTACACAGAGAACTGGGTGTTCATGAGATTGTGGAAGGGCTAAAAGTGCAGGGTCTAGGCTGGGTCCCCAAGAATTACTTCTACAACTCTAGTAACTGAACCATTAAGGAATTTTGCCATAATCAAGAAGCTACACAGGGCCTCTGGAGTTCAAGAACACCACTAAAGTTGTGACCCAGATATGCTGGGATCTAGAAACTATCTGGACAGGAAACACAGAATATACTTGCCACTTCCCTCAACTGCCCCTTGACAGCCACAGGGCTGGTGATTCAACACAGTGACATTGAGTCTGAGTGTCTCAGCTGCATAAGTGCCTCTCAACACCCACAATTCTGAAGACAGGACACTGGCATCTCCTGCGAGTTTTTTGCCAGAAGAAAACAGCTACAGGGGCTGGGGTTGTGGCTCAGAGGCAGAGTACTTGCCTCACATGTGTGAGGCACTGGATTCGATCCTCAGCACCACATACAAATAAATAAATAAGGATATTGTGTCCATCTACAACTAAAAAAAAATTAAAAAGAAAACAGCTACAAATAACAGGAAGGTGGCCTCTACCTTACCCTCTCCTTGCTTTAGAAACATCAGGCAAGTTTACTTGCCAGACCCTAATTTTTATCCAGAACTCTATCTCAAAGGAAGTCTGGGGAAATGTTTCTTAGCTTTTTCAGGTTCTGCTGTGCAAGAGGGCAAAAGCAAACAGGAATGGACAAGTGCCACCTTTCACATTCACCTAGCAACTGCAGCTACAGGCCCTAGGACTTAGATTTGGATCATTAATTCTATTCTTCTTATTYTATAATTACCTTTTATTGAAGTCCTGAAAATGTATCAACAGGGTTATTATCCTACAAACCTTCAAATACTAGAATATAATCCAGTTTGGCGCAGAGAAGACACACAGGTGTTTGCTGAATAGATGTTTCATTCCTGACTTTGAGAGAAACAGTAAACTAGAATTCCAGGAGAGTACTGCGTAGCAGCAATAACTGTCAAGTGGAGGCCCATTAGGGAGRGGTGAGAAAATGGAGTTGACTTGGCAAAGGCATCTGCTCTGTGTCTGCTAGTGGTATAGATTTCTTGTTAGGAAGCTAAAGGAACGGGAGGATTCCCGCCACTAATCTTTGGGTGCAACAAATCACAGCAGAGTCTAGGGTGACATAACAAGGGTGTGATGATAAGCTGATACCTGATAAACCAAAGGCCACAGCTTCCACCGGCTTTGAGCAGGTCCAGGCAATGGGATCTGATGATGCTTAGCACGTTGAGAGTGCTAACCTACTCCACCAGAAGCAACACCCTCTGGTTGATTTGACAACTAAAAAACAACGAGGAAAATCCCACTACACACACACACACACACACACACACACACACACTCCACAACCGGAAAGGGTTGGGCGCTCACTCCGGATCGCAGGCTCCGCTAGAGCTACACGAATCACACGGCGGAGAGGGTTTCTTTGCCCTCGGTATTCTCCCCCGCTACTCACTCCGCAGGCTGTGGTGCAGGTGACCCCGCTTCGCCGGGCGCGTTAGGAATTGAGCATCTGGGCGGCGGCGGTCGGGGTCGGTCTAGGCAGCGGACACTGGGCGTCGCGGGCGCATGGCCCCAGGCAGCCCCACGGGCACTGCTGCAGATAACCAATCCTGGGGCCGATTACCCGCAGCCCCGCCTTTCCCACACACCCACGCCCAGCGGTACAGCCGGAGAAGGTCTGCCCAGCGCACGGGTGGAGGCGCAGGAGCAAGCCTGGGGGGTCCGCCCGCCGCCTCCCTGCGCGCCTAGAGGGGTTTCGGGTTCCGCAGCGCGTGGCTCGGCCCCGCCCGTGGCAGGAGGCCCTCCGCCAGCCCTGAGACCTGGGAACCTCAGCGTGCGGCCTTTCAGTCGCTAGTTCTAAAAAAAGTGTGCGAGTTCTACCGCCCCCTGGAGCCCTGACACGCGCGCGTTTCCCCAGGGGAGCTCCTGGGAAGGGTCGGCAGCGTGCATGCGCCCCCAAGCGCAGCGCGGTTTCTTGCAGGAGCCTGGAATGCGGGACACGCAGCCCTTTGCGTGCTTATGATTCCCTGAACCAACTTCTAAATTCTGTATTTCGACTCCACTGTGTAGTTGTACTATTCAGAAATGTCTTCTTGAGTCAGTGGGAAAACAAGACTTTTTTTTTTTCTTTAGATGACAAAAAAGAAAAGTCTTGTAGCGTTCATCGTTTCTTTAACCCGTGCCCTATTGCTGTATTGATTTAGATTTTAACCCTTCCACCAGCATTTTGGTTCTTTTTGATTTTCACTCCCATTTTCGTGGCTTCTTTTCCTTCGTTTCCTCCTCTCCTACATTCATGCGGGCTCGCGCACGTGCCGTGTTTGTGGTGTGTATGCGCCTTACCTGTCTTTTCACTCCTTTATACAAGTGCCAATCTTAATCCTGCCTTCAGGCAAGAAGGTCTGTCTTCAAGTAAATATCTCCACCAGACATAAATCATTCACTGTCTCCCAGATCCTTCCTTGTGATGAACCTCAGGTCCATCCAATATTACTCCTCAGAATATCTAAAATGATTCTTTAACTAAACTGAACTGTACCTTTTCTAAGCTTGAAAAAATTTCTGGTCACATCAGGCTTCCTCTTATCACAGAATTGAAAGTTTTTTTCCCTTTTCTTTCAGTCATATGATCTTCATTGATACATTGCCTGATTTGATTAACATGACTTAGGAGAACATTGAATTGGGGGGTTAGGCTTCACTTTTTCACTGCTTGTTACGTTTACCATTCTTTATGGTTACCTCTGAGAGAACTAACTGAATGTCTGCTCATGTTAAAATTAATTTTATAGAACTAATGTGTAGATTTGAATTCATTAATTTAAAGCTATAAGAAACTGATGTGACTCCATTTTTGAGAAACCAGCTTCTCTCAAGGCCTGTCCAGAGGGAGGGGGCATGACCCTTGTCCTTGGAAAAACCCTCAGAGCCCTCCTAGGCACAAACCCACCCTGCTGAGTTGTTTAATAGGAGAGATCTGAGGTGCTTGGTGTCCCTGACTCAGTTATGCTAGTTGAGGACCGTTAGCAACCCCCCAGCAACCACCAATCAGCGGGAGACAGCAAAATATCTGAAATGCCAGGTGACCCTCCTCTTAGTTTTGGTGATTGATAACATGATCAGGCCACCCTGCAAGTTTAGCTTAAACACTCTTGTAATCCCTCCCAGCCTAAACCAATTGGTTCAAATGTATCCACCACATGAACTAACCAATCACCCTTGCCCAACTTGTTCCCGCCAGTGAATGTGCTAATCAATGTTAGGAGTTGTTGTTTGATTTTCCTGCAGTATGAAATGATTTGCTGTGTGATGTTGTGATGCATGGAGTATCCCCCCAAAACCTATAAATCCTCACTGAACTGAGGGTTGGGGCTCACTCTTCAGGACCACTGCATCGAAAATGGTTGTGAGTCCAGGCTCAAGGTAGCAACAAAGACTCTTTTGTGATTGCATTAGATTCGGCTCCTGGAGGTCTATTGGGGTCCCATGAATCTGGCATTACTGCTATACATGTAAGACCTACTCCTGCATAAAGTATTTCATGATATTCTTAGAAACTTCAATATTCCATTAACTGATTAGCCCAACTCTGGAATTTCATAAAGTAGAAACTAAAATCCAATATAAATTGGGTGAC